GACCGCCCTAAAGCAAAAACCCCCCCCCCCCAAAAAAAATAAAATATGACAGAGAGTGAGCGCACATGCCCCAAACCCAAGGAGTATAGAGAAGGGATTGCAGCATAGCCATCCCCTCTTGGAATCGATTTCCCTCTCTGTCTCTGATGAGTACAAAGGCCCTATAGAAAACTTAAAAAAAAAAAAAGTTAGGAAGGAAGGAAAATACTCAAATCAGGCTCTTTCACATGAGAGATAAAAGACTAATTAGAAATATTTATTAAGACTGGGGTTAGCACGTGGCACAGTGATTAAGGGCGCTGGACTCCCACTTGGCCGACCATGGTTCAAGTCCTGGACCTGTGGCTTGCTTTCTCACTTTCCATCTCTCTTGTTTTCTCTCACTCTCTCTGGTCAATTAAAACAAACAAACAATTCTTAAAAAAAATAAATATTTACCAAGACTGATGGTCTTAGAGATAGAAGGAGCAACGGGAAGCCTAGGCCACTTAGCCTGAGTTCGTCAACAGGGACCCCAACCTGCTGTGGAGAAGGAGGGGTTGCTTTGGCCTTCAAGGACCACTACCTTGTTCCTGCAGTCCCAGAGGTAGAAGGAACAATAGGGAGGCCTAGGAGAGGAGGTAAGAGCTGATACCTGATGGGGACTGATGCTTTTGCCCTTCGCCCACCCAGGAGCAGCAGGGAAGCCTAGGCTGCTTGGTCTGAGCTCATCAGCAGCGATCCACCCTGCCTGCTGTGGGGGAGGATGGGGCACAAAGTGGGTCTACTACCTTACATCCTACCTCTTCAGCTCAACCTGCGGCCATACTGGGAACAAGAAAGGTTTGGGTACACAGGAACCAAATCCACCCCTGAGGACAGGAGACTCTGGAAGAATTCCTTCTCCACAAGCCCCTTAGCGGTACAAGGAGAGAAATTCCCCTTTGAAAACCTTAACCCCAAACGCCTACTGTGAATTCCATATTCCCGGCCAGAGTAAGGAAGGAAACTGGCACAGAGCTGACCATGCCATAGGGACATACATGAGCACACAGGTACAGCAGCACACTCCAAAGGAGAGGGAAGAAGTATGTACACTTCACTTAGTCATCAGATGGCTAAAAATCAAAGCAGAGCCCCAAGAAATAGTAGAAAACCAGGAAACAGCTTCAGAACACAGTAACTCCTCACCAACAATGCATAAAACTTTTTACCAGAAATCTAAGAAATTTCAGAAAAAGAAGTCAGACTATTCATTGAAATAGAGTTTAATGAGATGTAAGAGAGAAAAATAACCAATTCCACATGAAAAAATCTTTCCATGACTTGAAGAAGGAACTCCATAAGGAGATAAGACATAATGAAAAATCAAACAGAATTTCTGGAGATAAGGAATATGATGTAGAAACTCAAAACATCCTTTGAAGGTATCAACAGCAGATTAGGCCACACAGAAGAAAAAAAATCACTGACCTTGAAGACAAAACCTTTGATTTGGTCCAAACAACTGAAAACAACAGAAGAATAGCCACGACAAATGAAGACCATATGGGGCCAGCAGGTGGCATAGTGTTAAGGCGCTAGACTCCCAGGTGGCGCCTGTGGTTCTAGTCCCAGATCTGCTGGCTTGAAACTCATGCCAGGCATGTGTGCATGTGTGCCCAATATTTGAAGAGAGAAGAATGAAGGAGAAGGGACTGCAACATGGCCATCCCCCCAGGGGGTGATTTCTCCCTTTCTGGTCTCTGTGTCTCTCTGGGAAATGCACACACTCTATAGCAAAAATCTCTCAAAAATAAATAAATAAAAATAAAAGAATACAACATAAGGGAAATCCTAGACACCATTAAATGGCTGAAGAGCAACATAGTACATACTTCAGAAGGTGAAGAGACAGGTAAAGGCATAGAAAACATCTTCAATAATATATTAGCTGGAAACTTTCCAAATTTAGAGAAGTATGTGGACATCCAAATCCAGGAGATACAAATGACACCAAATAGATACAACATCCAAAACTCCTCTCCAAGACATAGCCAAACTGGTAAAGAATCAAAGAAAAAGACATTCTAAAAATGGCAAGAAAGAAATGCCAGTTTACTTACAAAGGTTACTCCATTAAACTAATATCAGATATCTCAACTGAAACAACGCAGGCAAAGAAAGAATGGGAAGACATATTTAACTCTGAAAGAAAATAAATTTCAGTCAAGAGTACTATACCCAGCAAGAGTATCCTTCAAATGGGAAGGAGAAATAAAACCATTCCCAGATATACAATGCTGAAAGAATTCACCAAAACCAAATCAACTCTTCAGGAAATACTTGAGTGAACACTACACCAAGAAAACTAAAAGGAAACAAATAGAAGTAAGAGGT